TGCCCCTATCCTCCGTGGCATGTGTGGTGGCTGCTGTGCCCAGGCATTGTGGACTTAGGGCTTACGTGGGAAGACTGGGGAAGCTGAACACAAACCAAGAACAAGGACCTCCAACATACTTTTGATCCTGGCTTTGTTTTCTATCTGAAAGAGGTTTTGATAAAGTTGCTTTTATATTTAGAAAAACCTCAAACTCCAGAGTTTCGTAGGAAATAGTTAAAGGTAAGTCAAATAATGCTCAGAAGCTGGAATGGCTCTGTATTAAGGGGGATGAGGGAGCATGGTAAGAGAAATTTAATTCTGAAATCTCTTAAGAGAGGCCATAATGGGAAGGATTTATATTTGATTAACTTTTCTTGGATCTAGCCATCACCAGTCTGCCCCACCCCAGCCCCCAACAGCAATTCTTCCTGAGGCTTGGGCCTTCAGTGGTGATGTGTTGTGCTCTGTACGTCAATCAGCTTGCCTGGGCCCAGTGTCAGGGACCCCAGAACCCGAAGGTGCTGACAAAGAGGACCTGCTGCTACTGAGTGAGATCTTCAACGCTTCCTCCCTGGAAGAGGGCGAGTTCAGCAAGGAGTGGGCAGCCGTGTTTGGAGATGCTCGACTGAAGGAGCCAGCACCAGCTGCGGCCCTGGGAGAGCCAGACCCCAAGCCTCAGACAGGCTCAGGGTTCCTTCCTTCACAGCTTTTAGACCAAAACATGAAAGATTTACAGGCTTCGCTACAAGGTATGTGCAATGAGCATTCAAATGAGTTCTTTAATTTGTTAGTTCTTTTGTTATTGTTGCTGTTATTTTATTTTATTATTTTTTGAGAGATGTTTGCTGTATGGCACATGAGCTCACTAGAGAGAGAGACAGAAAGACAGAAAGTGAGAACCCCCCCCACACACACACCTCCCCCAGGGGAGGTGGCAATGCTGCAGTCCCTCCTCTGCTCTGCTGGGATTCTGGGCATGCATACATATGCACCTGGCATCAGTTTCAAGCCACCAGGTCTGGGACTTGAACTGAAGTTGGCCACGTAGGAATCCAGTGCCTTAACCACTATACAACCTGCTGGCCCCTGTTGTTGGTTTTTTAATCCAAAGATATATTTCTTCTTTTCCTGTTGGTTTGTGTGTGTGTGTGTGTTCTGTGTTTCTACTTTATAGCCAGCATCTTTCTGTTTTTCATATTTTTCTTTTATATCCAGGAACTTTTTAGATGAAGACTCAGAATCATGTTCCAACTTTAAGATATGATACAGAGTTGAAAAATCTATTTCTTTGGGACCATCCAATGGCATAATGATTATATCACTAGACTCCCACATAGTCTACTGCGGTTCAAGTCCCTAAGCCTGTGGCTGAAAATTCATGCCAGGCGTGTGTGTGTGTGTGCATGCCCAAAATCCCGAGAGGAGAATGGAGGAGAAGGGATTGCAGTGTGGCCATGCCTCCTGGGAGGTGATTTCTCACTTTATGTCTCTCTATTTCTCTCTCTCTCTCCAGCAAGTCATGTGCTCTATAGCAAAAAATCTCTTTAAAAAATCAATTTCTTCTCTTAATTTTCTCCCTATATTAACATTTACTGTTAATAAAAGGTTAGAAAGGTGGTTCTTAATGTTACTGTCTTACTTTGGCTTTAGACGTTTTCATGACATCCTTGTGAGAGGATCAGATTGCCTTCATACCATGGGCCTATTGGCTTGGTAATTCCTACATGATCACTACCGTGGGTTCTTCCATGGAGCTACAAGGTGGTTCCCCCCTTTCCTATAAATATGCGGTATTTCTGGGTGCTGATCGACATGACACTGGACTTTTAACTCTTTTTTCACATTTAAGTTTTATCTTATATTCAGTCTTGTTCCTCTTTTGTCCTGACCCAACCCTACCCAGCTCAGCTATTCCTGTTTTGTCTGAAACACATGGCCAAAAGTACATTCCCAGCTAACAATAGTTTCCACACTCTTATGATCAAAAGTGGCTGGCAGGTGGCATAGTAATTTAGGTGTGTGCGTTTCCACATTGGTAGACCACAGTTCAAATCCCAGACCTGGCAGCTTGAAAATCATGCTGCGTTCATGGGCATGCATGCCCAAAATCACAAGAGAAGAATGGAGGAGGAGGGATTACCGTGTGGTCATCTCCCCAGGAGTTGATTTCTCACTTTTACTCCCTCTATCTCCCTCTGGCAAGTGCATGTACCCTATGGGGGGAAAAAGTGGCTGGCCATGTCTATAATAGTTCAAGGTACGATGCGCCTTACCAGCAGACCACATGCTAGTTGAGGATTGTTGGCATGGGAAGCACATTGGTTTACAGTACAAACATGCTCAAACTGGTCCTGGGGCCTAGTGACTGAGGAAGGCAGATCCCACATGACCAACAGTGCAGTCGTTTGATAAACACACTGGGCACATGTACATAAGTGCCCAGAATCCTGACAGGATAAATATATGGAGGAGAAGGGGTTGGGATGTGATCATGTCCCACCACGGGGTCCTTTCTCCCTCTCCTGCTCTTTCTCTGTCACTCTCTAATGAGCACATCTGCCCTCCGGTTTGTAAAAAAAAAAAAAAAGAAAGAAAGAAAGAAAGAAAGAAAGAAAGAAAGAAAGAAAGAAAGAAAGAAAGAAAGAAAGAAAATGCAGACTGCAATTTAAACACCCAGGTTTGAGTTTCTAAACATGCAGACCTCAGAAGGAAACCATTTTGAGTATTTCAATACCTTTTCCTCCTTTCATGTGACTTTAATTGTAAAACAGGAATCACTATTAAGAAATTCTCAGGCTAACCTGCGGCGTGGTAGTTGGGGCAGCTGGAGCCCACATGATCTACTGTGCAAGACCAGACCTTGTGGCTTGAGGGACATGCCAGGCATCTGTGTATGCAGACCCAAAATCCCAAAAGGAAAGATGGAGGGGAAGGGATAGCAACGTGGCCATCCCCCAGAGGGTGCTTTCTCACTATCTCTCTCTCTGTCTTTCTCTAAGTAAGCTCGTGTGCATTTTTTTTTTTAAATTCTCAAACTGGGGCCAGTAGGTGACATGGTGGTTAAGGTACTGGATTTCCACATGGCTGACTGTAATTTGAGTCCCGGAACTGGTGACTTGAAAATTATGCCATGTGTGTGAGTGTGTGTGTGTGTGTGTGTGTGTGCGCGCGCGCGCTCCCAAAATCCTGAGAGGACAATGGAGGAGAAGGAATTGCAGTGTGGCCATCCCCCCTGAGGGGTGATTTCTCACTTTGCCTCTCTCTGTTATCCTCTAGCAAGTACATATGCCCTATGGCAAAAAAACAAACAAAATTTTATTTTGATTTTTTTTTTTTTTATGTCTAGGCTCTCTCTTTAATAAGCAACATGTTTATCCAGCACTTAAAGCTGAGAACAAACGACAAAGCTGGGATGATTAAGTAATTATGGGCTATTAACATCTCGGGTCTTTGGAGATGAGGTCATGGGTACAGGAGTTGGTGGGTGAGACAAAAAATAGTCTTCCCTCTTTTTTATGAAATACATGATTCCTTTTATCTTCCTTTGTGAATCCTGTTTTGTAGCCGTCTCACTTATTTGCAATCAGGGAGTTAGAGATAGCAGGGATAAAGGAAATCCAAACTGCTTCTGTCCAGAGTTTCACCCCAACGTTTCACCACCTCTTTTTCTGGAGCTGCAAATGAACAAGGCCTTTCACCCCCACACACCTGTGGTGGAGGTGCTAGCAAGCAGTGGGAGGGCTCAGGAGCACTGCTGGAGGCTGTCCTGCTGTGCTGCAGCGTGAACCCCTCCTGACCCCCCAGCTTTGAAGACACATCAGCCCCCTGCCTAAGTGGTGAGAGCCCGTGGTGAGGTGTGCCCACGTACTTGAGCTGGCCTGGTGTGCTTTGCCACAGCACCCCCACACTGGCAACTGAGAAGTCAGGGCCCCACACCTTCTTGAGCAGGCAAAGCAAGAAGAACTCAGAGCCACCTCCTTCCCCCCAAAAAATGCCTGGCAGCCGGGGGGACAGCAGTGGTCAGCCTTGCCCCCAAGTTCCTGGGAAAGGCACAACCACACTTGGTTTTAAGGAGAGAGAAGTGCAAGTTCATAGTACAGGAAGAGAAAGAGATAGTGCAAAGGGAGGCCGTTTATTTCCAGGCAAACCTGATCTCTGAGGTTGCCACCCGACTGGCACTTTAGCAAGCTTCTCCCTCATTTGACAAGTGTTTACTGGATTTCTCTGTGTGCCAGGCACTAGGAATTCATCTGCGAACAGAATAGACAGGGCTCCCTGCTTTCATGTTCTAATGGAGAGGAGGTAGTCCGTGAATGATAAGTATAATAAACAAGCAAATCACGTCGGGGTTAGAAAATGCTCGGCGGTAGGGAGAAAAGAAAAACTAGAGTAGGGATAGGGAATGTCGAGGTCGGGCTGCAGAATAACATCGGATTCTTACTGGCAAGATGTGATATGAGTAGGCTGGCAGGAGGTGAAAATTAGCCACATGGAAAGCTGGGGAGAGAGGACGACCTGTGCCAGTGCTCGAGGTGACATGTCCGGCATAGTGGGATCTGCAGGACGAACACTGTGGCTGGAGCCGACTGACAGAGGGGGAGAGCCGCTCAGAGGACAGAGAGGCCATGCACGGCCGCCCAGCCAGTGGAGAAACTTGGGCTTTTTTTTCCACACAAGGGAAATGGGGAGCCATCACAATGTCTTGGGCAAAAAAGGGACGTGATCTGATTTACTGTCGGAAACGATTACCCTGGCTGCTCAAGGCTTCCTTTCCTCTGCTGTGGTCCTGTTAAGATCAACACTAAGAGAGTTCTTCTGTATCCTATTGCCTTGGCATGCAAATATCTGCCAACTGAATGATTATAGGACTTGAAATGACAGAAAAATAGTCCAACCTGAGTGGTTGACAGAAGCAAGCAGGGCAGCATCTACCAAACCTGTGGGTCCCAGCAGGGGCAGGCACAGTTCCACCCCTGCCACTAACGTCCTGTCCTCTCCCCACCCCCGACCCCTGTTTCAGAGGCCCTTCCAAATGTGTGATGCAGATAAAGGACAGCTCTCTGCTTCACTGATTGATCATGTCATCAAATTATAAGTAACCACCTTCTATGGTTCTGTCAGGATGCCCCCTACTCCCACGCCATCCCTAAAAGAGGAAAGGATAAATGTTGACCTGAGAGCTTTTCATTATGCCCATGGCCTAGAACATCCATCTATACACATAGTTATGTATATATAATAGATAATTTAGTATTCAGCTTTGGCCGCCTTATATTGAAACTGCTGCCCCTGATTAACCAGGTCATCTCAAAAATCGAGTTCAATAAACCATGGAAATAATTGAGTGAGACTAAACATGGAACCGAAAGGCTTGCAAGCTCAGCAGAATGGCGTTGAGTTAGGAGCCCAGTTTCACCCTGCACACCCCCCGTCTCTCTGCACTCTGAATCAGGTGTCCAGGCCTTCAACTCTCTGGGCCTTTACCTTCTCATTGTAAAACAAGGCATTAGATGGCCTCTAATTCCTGTGTCAATTTCTTATCCCTGGGTGAGTCTCCACTTTGGAGATCATGAGTACTAAAACTGTGTGATTCTGTGAATCCGCCATTTGTAGGTGGTAAAAAGACAACAGGCAGAAGTCAGTAGAGCACGCACTGGGCCAAGCACTGCCCTGCCTGATTTTTACATAAGTGAGCTTACTTAATCCTCACCGCACCCCTCCCAGGGACTATGGCCATCTCCATTTTATA